GCTGGATGAAGCCGAGGATCGAATCAGTGAGATGGAGGATAAGGCACAATAAAGCTCCCAGAAAGAACAAGAAATGGAAAAAAGACTGAAAAATAATTTAGGGAAATGCAGGACAACCTGAAATGCAATAATATCTGTATAATACAGATACCAGAAGCAGAAGAAGAGGGGCAAGGGATAGAAGACATCCTCGAAAAAATAATGATGGAAAATTTACCCAATTTGAGGAGAGAAAGGGTCTCATGAATTCAGGAGGCACAGCGGACTCCACTCAAGAGGGACCCAAGGAGGTCCACTCCAAACACATCATCATTCAAATGGGAACTATCAAAGACAAGGAGAGAATCCTCAAGGCAGCAAGGGAGAAAGAGAAAGTAACATACAAGGGGGCCCGGATACACCTAGGAGCTGACTTCGCAACAGAAACACTACAAGCCAGAACTGAATGGCAACAAATGTTCCAAGCCATGAAAAGCAAGGGCCTACAGCCAAGGCTGCTCTACCCAGCAAAGCTCTAAATTAAAATAGAAGAGGAAATACAGAGTTTCCCAGACAAGAGAAGGCTAAAAGAATACATCTCTACCAAACCAGCACTCCAAGATATGCTAAGGGGACTGGTTTAAGCAGATGAAGGAAAAGAATGAGAGAGAGAGGAACACAGGTACAGAGAAAAGATGAGTAAGTTTCTATCAGTAATATCTCTCAGGGTGAATGGACTAAATGCCCCAATCAAAAGACACAGGGTAGCTGAATGGATAGGAAAACATGACCCACACATATGCTGCCTACAAGAGACCAATCTCAGAGCAAAAGACCTACACAGATTAAAAGTAAAGGGATGGAAAAAAATATTCCATGGACATGGACAAGAGAAAAAGGCCAGTGTTGCCATACTTGTATCAGACAAAGTAGATTTCAAAACAAAGGCCATAAAGAGAGACCCAGAGGGGCACTTTATAATACTTAAAGGAAGAATCTCTCAAGAAGACATCAAAATTGTAAACTTATTATGTTCCCAATATAGGAGCCCCCAAGTATATAAGGAAATTGTTGGATAACTTCAGAAAAGATGTATACAGCAACACACTGATAGTAGGGGATTTCAACACCCCACTGTCAAAAATGGACAGATCTTCCAAACAAAACATTAATAAAGATATTGTGGCGCTGAATGACGCACTGAATCAAAGAGACTTAACTGACATATATAGAACCTTACATCCCAAAGAAGAAAAATACACATTCTTTTCAAATGCTCATGGCAGTTTTTCAAAGATAGACCACATGATAGGACACAAAGCAAACCTCAGCAAATTCAGGAAAATTGAAATAATACCAAACGTTTCCTCGGACCTCAAGGGCTTGAAACTGGAAATCAACCTCAAAGAGAAACTTCAAAAACCTGCATACTCATGGAGACTGAACAGTACACAATTAAACAATGAATGGGTCAATAATGAGGTAAGAGAAGAAATCAAAAAATTTCTGGATACAAATGAAAGTGAACAGACAACAGTCCAAAACCTATGAGACACAGCAAAGGCGGTCCTGAGAGGGAAGTTCATAGCAATACAGGCTTACCTAAAAAAGATAGAAACATTTCAAATAAAAGACCTAACACTACAACCTCAAGAACTGGAGAAACAACAACAACACATAAATCCCAGAGCAAGGAGAACGAAGGAAATAGTCAAGATTAGAGCAGAACTGAATGACATAGAGACGAAAAGAACAATTCAAAGGATCAACCAATCCAGAAGCTGGTTCTTTGAAAAGATAAATAAAATTGACAAGCCTTTAAGCAGACTCATCAAGACAAAAAGTCAGAGGACCCAAATTAATAATATCAGAAATGAAAGAGGAGAAATAACAACTGATACCACAGAAATACAAAGGAGTGTCAGAAACTACTTTGAACAGTTATATGCCAAGAAATTTGAAAATCTTGATGAAATGGACAAATTTTTAGAAAAGTATAATCTTCCAACACTGAAGGAGGAAGAAACAGAAAGCTTGACCAGACCAATAACAGCTCGGGTAACTGAAGCAGTGATCAAGAAACTCCCAGCACACAAAAGCCCTGTGCTGGACAGTTTCACAGGAGAATTTTACAAAACATTTAAGGAAGAGCTAACCCCTGTCCTTCTCAGACTATTCCAAAAAATCTAAGAGGAGGGAAGACTCCCAGACTCTTTCTATGAGGCCAGCATCACCCTGATCCCAAAACCAGATAAAAACCTTACAAAGAAAGAAAACTACAGACCAATTGCGCTGATGAACATAGATGATAAAATCCTCAACAAAATATTGGCAAACTGCATCCAGCAATACATTAAAAAGATTATCCACCAGGATCAAGTCAGATTCATCACAGGGATGCAGAGAGGGTTCTTTATTCGCAAATCAGTAAACATGATTCATCACAAAAATAAAAGAAAAGACAAAAACCACATGATCATCTCGATAGATGCAGAAAAAGCATTCGATAAGGTACAGCACCCATTTATGATCTAAACACTCAGCAAAATGGGAATAAATGGGGCATTCCTCAACATAATAAAGTCCATATATGAAAAACCTTCAGCCAATATCATACTCAACGGGCAAAAACTGAAAGCTTTCCCACTAAGATCAGGAACACGACAAGGATGTCTGCTTCCACTGCTCCTTTTCAACATCGTATTGGAAATCCTAGCCACAGCGGTCAGACAGAAGAAAAAGATAAAAGGCATCCAAATAGGAAAGGAGGTAGTAAAGCTATCATTGTTTGCAGATGACATGATAGTGTACATAGAGAACCCTGTAGGCTCTACCAAAAAGCTTCTCAACCTTATAAGAGAACTTGGCCAAACAGTGGTATACAAAGTCAATATTCAGAAATCAAAGGCATTTTTGTACACCAGCAACAAATAGAAGAAGAAGAAATCAGAAAAGAAATACCATTTGATATAGGAAGAAGAAAAATAAAGTACCTAGGCATAAATTTAACCAAAGAGGTAAAATACCTGTATGCAGAAAACTATACAACACTGAAGAAAGAAATTAAGGAAGACACAAATAAATGGAAGCATATACCGTGCTCATGGATTGGAAGAATTAATATCATCATAATGTCCATACTACCCAAAGCAATTTATAGATTCAACGCAATCCCTATTAAGTTACCAAGGATGTATTTCACAGAAATAGAACAGACATTTCCAAAATTTGTATGGAACCATAAATGACCCCGAAAAGCTGCAGCAATTTTGAAAAAGAAAAAAAAAGTAGGAGGGATCACAGTACCGGACATCAAACTCTACTACAAAGCCACTATACTCAAAACAATCTGGTACTGGCACAAGAATAGACCCATAGACCAGTGGAACAGAATAGAAAACCCAGAAATAAGCCCAGGTCTATATGGGTATCTAATGTTTGACAAAGGGGGCAGAAGCATAAAATGGAGCAGTAATAGCCTCTTCAACAAATGGTGTTGGGAGAGCTGGACGACTACATGCAAAAAATTGAAATTGGATCATCAGTTGACACCATACACTAAAATAAACTCAAGATGGATAAAAGACTTAAATATAAGTCACAACACCATCAAAGTCCTAGAGGAGAACATGGGCAGGAAACTCTCAGAGATCCCACACAGCAATTTTTTCACTGATATGTCTCCTAAAGCAGGGGACATAAAGGAAAGAATAAACAAGTGGGACCTCATCAAAATAAGAAGCTTCTGCTCGGCTAAAGAAAACATCAGCAAAATGAAAAGGGAGCCAACCGTATGGGAAAATATATTTGCTAATGATACATTAGATAGAGGTTTGATCTCCAAGATATATAAAGAACTCACTCGACTCCACTCCAAGAAGTCAAACGATCCAATCATAAAATGGGCAAAGGACCTGGGCAGATGCTTTTCCTAGGAGGAGATACAGTGGGCCCAGAGACATTTGAAAGGATGCTCAGCATCACTAGCCATCAGTGAAATGCAGATCATAAGCCATCATGAGGTACCACCTCACACTGGTCAGAATGGCCATCATAAACAGATCCACAAACAAAGGTGCTGGCGAGGCTGTGGAGAAAAGGGAACCCTAGTACACTGTTGGTGGGAATGCAGACTGGTGCAGCCACTGTGGAAAGCAGTGTGGTATTTCCTCAAAAAGCTGAAAATGGAACTGCCTTTTGATCCCGTGATTCCTCTGCTGGGACTATACCCTAAGAATACCAAAACGCCAATAGAAAAGAACCTATGCACCCCAATGTTCATAGCAGCACAATTGACAATAGCCAAGTGTTGGAAGCAACCTAAATGCCCATCAGTAGATGATTGGATCAAAAAGTCATGGTACATATACACAATGGAATACTATGCAGCAGAAAGAAATAAAAGAACTACTAAACTTCACGACAGCATGGATGGAACTGGAGAGCATTATACTAAGCCAAATAAGCCAGAGGGCGAAAGACAAATATCATATGATCTCTCCCATAAGTGGATCCTAACCAACAATACAAAGATGCAAGGAAAATAAGACCAGCAACACTGAAAGGAAAAGAAATCAACAGAGCTGAGAGGGAAGGAGGGCGGGGCGGGGAAAAGGAAGTGAAGGGGAAAGTAGGAACATAGAGCAAGGACTCATGGATAAAACCAACGGGGAAGAGTTGAGGGAGGGAGGGAAAGAGGGAGGGGGCAAGGGAAAGTGGTGGGTGTTAGGCAGAGCCAAATGTATTTTAAAAAATAAATTAAAAAAGAAAAGAAAAAAATATTATAAAAGAATCTTCTGTCCCTCTTGTATTCTCCCCTCACCTCAAAACTTTATAGGCATATTTTGCAAATATCCAATTTTCTTCTTCCTACACTTCATAAAGTTTTTCAATCTAGGAGGATGGATTGAAGAAGAAATTCCTCTGTCCCAGTTGTCCCTTTCCTTCTCCCAGCACTCAGACAGGTCCTCTGGGTATGGAGGAAACAAACCCAGCAGGAATATGTGAGTCCTCTCTCTTACCACAGAATATCTGCGCAGAAAATGATAGGCGACAGGAATGTTGATATCAAAATCTAGGGTTTTCAAAATGTTGATTTCCATGGCAAGCATCTCATCTCGCTGATAAGCACCATTACAGATGTACAGGAAGTTATCCAAACTAGGTGGGCAGGACTCCTACAGGTAGAGAGAGGCAGTCATAACCAAGCCAAGACAGCCCACTTCTCTCTGCTTGGAGATCAAAGGCAGAGAGGGAGAGGGTGAAGGATTGGAGGCAATGACTTTCTGGGAATAAACCTTCAGGTCAGTTCTGAGAGCCAACTTCTGGTTGATCTGAGTGGTCCATCTGAAAAACACAATCAGAGAGACAGGAGAGATCTGCCTCAAAACTGCACCACTAGAGAAATGATGGGGCCTCGGGAGATGGATTCTTACAGTGTTTGAAACACAAAACATGGCACAAGGACCGGGATCAATGATGTCTCTTCTAATGGGTGTGAGGCATGAATGGGAAATCTAAGGCCTGCTCTGGAGGAAGGAAAGAAAAGAGACCACAAAAACAGGGACTAGACATGGAAAATAACCCTCATTGTGTCCTAATCTAAGGAAAAAAAATAAGGATTCTTGGGAGGGGGCTGTGCTGGGGTAACAGGCAGTGAGAAAGATGCAGACAGGCACAGAGGGAGCCAAGCAGTCCTTGGCTTGTAGTCCTAAGCGAAGACTGAAGACAAAAGTGGGTGGGAGGATGTGCATGAGGTCTAGACTGGGAAGATCCAGATCAACCCGAAAGTGATTAGAACCCTGTCTGGGAGCAGTTTCCCATGTCCTGGCCTCTACAGACTGAACCTTGGTTTCGGGGAGAGGACTGGGACGCAGAAACACCACTGTATCTTTTCCTAGATGCACCCACCTACCCACCCCACTCTTGTTCCCAAACTTCCATCTCTCTGTTTTCAGATCACAAACTAGACCAACCCTCTGGTTTTTCAGACAGGAAATTGAGACCCAGAGAGAAAAAGTAACTCAACAACCTAGTGGTAAGACCAGGGCAAGAAACTCTCCCTTTCATTGCTCTAATCACCGGCTCCTTCCTTTCTTCTCTTCTTGTACTATCTCTACACCTCCCCTTGTGAAAGTCTTTCTGTACTTCTCAACCCAGTGAGGGGAAAATACTCCTTCTCCAGAACACTTAGAAGAGGCCATTCATCCTGGCAACCAAAAAAAGGAGTGCTTCTGGTTCCAATATTTACTGAAAAGTGCCCCATCCTACTCTCCTCCTCCCTCCTCCTCTATAGGGGCCCCAGCTGCTTTTTTAACACCCTTGAGGCTGATGCATAAAGTACTTGCTCAAAACATAAAAAGCAGCTCTAGGTAGGGAAAGGGAGAGGAGGAAGGGGAGGAAGGAGACAGGGAGGAAAGAAGAGAGAAGAGAGAGGGAGAGGGAACAAGGGAATGAACCAGGGATTACTGAGTGAGCAGTGCAGGAAATGAGTAAGAAAGCAAGGGAAAGCATGAGGGAAGTGGAAGGGAGAGAGGGAGAAAGGGAAAAAGGAGGCTAGGGAGAAAGGGAGGGAAGGACAATGGAAGAGAGTAAGTAAGAGTATGTGAGAGGACATAAGCAAGGAAGCGAGCAAGAGAGGGGGCTGTCAGAGAGGGGGCAAAGAGTAAGCATGGAGGAGGGAGAGCAAGGGAAAAACAGGGTAGGGAAGGAAGTGATCCAGAGAGGGAAACAATGAGGGAGAGAGCAAGGGAGTGAGGGAGAAAAGTGAGAGGCAGTATGGGAAGTAGAAGAATAGAGAGTGAGGGCGGTCAGTAAGAAAGGAAGGGGTAAAAAAGGAGAGGAGAGAAGGAATTAGCATAAAAGAGGGGAAATCAGCAAGAGAAAGGGAAAGCCAAGGAGGGGGAGGGAACAAGGCACAATAGAAGCAAGGTGGGGGAGGAAGGGATAAGAAAGGAAGAGAGGGAGAGAGGATGGGATGAAGGGGAGAGAGTTAGCAAGGTAAGGGGAAAGAAAGGAAGGGTGGGACTAAAGGTGGGAGGGAGAAGCATGGAATGTGACTGAGTGAAGGAAGAAGTAAGGGTGGGAAGGTGGCAGGGAGGGAGACAAAGGAGTAAAGGATGTAACAAAAATGGGCGGAAAAGAGGGAGGAAAGACACTAGTGAGTGAGGGACGGATGGAGCATGGAATGGAACCAGGGAGCAAGTGAGCAGGTAAGGGAGGGAGCAAGAGAGGAGCCAGAAAGGGAGAGAAAACACCATAGAGGAAGGGAGCCCAGTATGGACTGAGTGAGTACACAAAGTAGGGATGGAGGGATCAAGGGATGGATTAATAGAAGACTGGAGAAAGATTACTAGAGAGTGAAAGCATAAGTGAAGTGAGGGCAGAAGTGATAGAGGACAAGGGTGAAGTGAGGGAAAGGGCAGCAAGAGAGGGAGGGGAAGAAGGATGGAAATAAGGAGCAAAGGAGGGAAGGTTGGAGATAGGGAGGAAGAAACTGCCAGATGTAGGTGGGAAGTGAGTGAGCAAAGGAGGGAGAAAGGCAGGAATCAAGTTAGGAATAGAGCTGGGGAGGAAGGGAGCAGACAGAAGAACACAAAAACAATCCCACGGTTCTTAAGTTCTTTGAACTCAATAAAAGTGGCTACTACCTCTCTGCTCCTAAACCCTAAGGTTTCACAAAACTAGCTAATCTGAAGGAAAAATGGGAGTTGAACAAGATCATTAGGCATCTAAAGAAGGGGAAAGAATCAGAGAAATTAGATAGATTATGGTTACGAAGGAAAGTTGAGCTACTTGCTTTTATACTGCCACTTCAAAAATAACAGTTAACCTGGACTCACTACCAGGCGATTTTCTCTTAAGTATCTCCAGCACCCAAGTTTGGAAATTCTCTCTTACATATGCAATTCAAGGTTCCACAAGATGGAGATGGAGTTGGTGGAAGGAGAAAAGGGGTGGGGGCAGAGAATCATGGACCAAAATGAAGCTTTAAAAAGAACCATACATTGAATTATGCATATGCCCACGTACACATATCTTAGAGAAAATGGAAGAACCTTGTTGATGCCAGAGAACAAATATAACTTTCCTGCTGGGGAAGACAGACAAAAACTTGCTAGATAAAGTTATTTTATACAGACTGAGGTACAAATATATGCAAACATATATACATGTGTGTATATGTATGTAATATATATACATACACATATATACATACTCATATACACATGCATGTGACTTGAATAGAAATCTGATTGATTAGCTTTCTCCAGGTCCTATGGACTCAGGCTCACCTCAAATTTTGCTGCAATCATAAAAGCAGTGGAACCAAGGAGTTGTAGTTTGTCTTTCTTGCATGTTACCTTCATAAGATAGTGATCCACCAGCTTCACTGCCAAGTAGAGGGTCTCATGACTCACCTCAAAGGAAATCTGGAGGAATACACAAACAGGGCAAAAATCTGTATATTATCCAGCTCCAAAATCACATCCAGATAAATTTAACAACCTGGTCTGTAGCATTGAGAACAAAAAACACCAGCTGAGATCCTGCTCTGAATACAGGAACAACTTTAGATAGGTGCCTGACTATATCTCCTGTGCCTTTGAGAACATTGGCATTTTCTACATTTAGGAAAGTGATCAGTCTTATAAATCAGAGAGAAAGAGAGAGAGAGAGAGAGAGAGAGAGAGAGAGACTCTGCCTTTTCTATGAACACACTGAATGAACACACCCTCTCTCCTTGATCTCCGATACATACTTAGATTCTTGTTTTCCCCCATTTGCTACTACCTTATACAGTGAATTCCCAAAAGAGATGATGTTTATTTAGCTCTGAAATATAGACAACTTGTTTGCTTATTTATTAGTTTATCCATCTATTACTATCTCTTCCCAACTAGTTAAGCTATTAGAATGCATAGATTCAGAGCAAGTAAAAATAGCACCATTTGGAAGTGAGGGGCTGAAGAAGCCAGACAGATTAAAGCATTAGTAGTACAATCCTCCTTTCCTTCTTTTATATATCCTTGTCTTGCCCTCACGAATTCCAAGAAACAATCTCCAATAAAAGTAGTCCCAGAGGATGGAAGGATTGAGCAAAAAGGAAAAAGGATTTCTGCACATGGACAACAGTGTGGTGACTGGTGAGAGGAGAGGGCCATAAGGAAAATAAATAGTAATGGAAAAAAATACAATAAAGATTTTTTTTAAGTAGTCCCAGAGTTAGTGCTGGCCTCTATAGCAGCTTTGTGAAAATTATAAAAAAGTTACCCTCTTTGGATGAATGCAGCCCTGAAGGCGCACAATGTCTATATATAAGTTAGCAAAAGGTGCCCCTGTCTCAGGGCATAGCAGCCCCACAGCCAGAATGCACAGCCTGACAAATAGTATGAGCTAGATTCCACTGTCTATTTTTGCTTTGGCTGGAGGCAATGCGTAGCCACAATTTGCACTGTACACAGGGGTCCTACCCAATCTTGATGCTCTTTCTCACAACCCCTTAGGTTCTTAGGGCTTGAGAACAATAAAATGAGTAAGTCTGATACCTCAATCAATGCTTGAACACTTGTTTTAATGTCTCTACCAAATAGTTGGTCAGTTCCTGCCATAGAACCTCCAAATATAGCTCAATCTCTCTTTGAATAGTTTTAACAAAAAATTCTTCCTTATATTGAGTAATAATCGCCCTCCCTGAAATTTTCACCTACATCATTGGGAATCCATTGTATAGGCTACTTTTACTGAATGGAGCCTAGCTGGCCACAACATATGTATGTCAATAAAAAGCTTTGGAGAAATGGGTGTATATTAGCATACGCGAATGATTATCAGAAGGTTGAATATATTGGTTCATCAATAGATACATTATGTTTCTGAATAACAGAAACACTAAAAAGTTGTTCCTGTTGTTCATGGGACATGGCCTTGGATACTCTCAGAAATCTGCCTTCATTAGTTTCCTATTGCTATAATAAATTACCACACACTTAGTGGCTGAAATCAACACAAATTCATTATCTTACAGATCTGGAGATCAGAAGTTCAAAATAGGACTCACTGGACAAAAAAAAAAAAGTCAAGGTGTTAGCAGGGCTGAGTTTCTTTGTGGAGGTTATGATGAAGAATCCCTTTTCTAGCATCTAGAAGATTCCTGCATTCCTTGGTTTGGGGTCCCTTCCATCTTCAAAGACAGCAATTGCCAGCCAAGTCTTTCTCATACTACATCATTTTCTGACTCCTTCTTCCACATTTAAGGACTCTCGTGATTACCCTGGGCCCACTTGGATAATCCAGGGTAATTACCTTATCTTTTAAAAATATTTTTGATTGTTATTACAGTTGTTCCAAGTTTTCCCCCTTTGCCCCCCTCTGTAAGTAACCCCCCTTCCCCCAGCAAGCCTCCCCATTAGTTTATGTGCATGGGTGATGCATATAAGTTCTTTGGCTTCTCCATTTCCTATTCCATTCTTAAGATCCCCCTGTCTATTTTGTACCTACCAATTATGCTTTTTTAATTCCTGCACCATTTCTCCCTTTTTCCCCCTTTCTCCTCCCAGCTGACAACACTCCAAATGATCTCCATACCTATGATTCTGTTCTGTTCTGGTTGTTTACTTTGTTTTTTTAATTCAATTGTTGATAAATATGTATTTATTGCCATTTTAGTGTTCATCGTTTTAGTCATCTTCTTTTTCTTAAATAAGTCCCTTTAACATCTCATGTAATAATGGCTTGATGATGAAAAGTTCCTTTAGCTTTACCTTGTTTGGGAAGCACTTTATCGCCCTTCAATTCTAAATGGTAGTTTTGCTGGATAGAGTAATCTTGGTTGTAGGTCCTTGCTTTTCATCACTTTGGATGCTTCTTGCTAGTCCCTTCTAGCGTGCAAAGTTTCTTTAGAGAAATCAACTGATAGTCTTATGGGAACTCTTTTGTAGGTATCTCTCTGCTTTCTCTTGCTGCTTTTAAGGTTCTCTCTTTACCTTTAACCTTCAGTATTAGAATTATGATGTGTCTTGGTGTGGTTCTCTTTGGGTCCACTTCTCTGGGACTCCGTGCTTTCTGGACTTGTATGTCTATTTCCTTCATCAAATTAGGGAAGTTTTCTTTTATTATTTTTTCAAATAAGTTTTTAATTTCTTGCTCTTCCACTTCTCCTTCTGGCATCCCTGTGATTTGATGTTGGCATGTTTGGAGATGTCCCAGAGTCTTCTTATACTATCCTTGTTTTTTTGAATTCTTGTTTCTTCTTTCTGTTCTGCTTGAATGTTTATTTCTTCCTTATGTTCCCAATCATTGATTTTGATTTGAATCCCAGCTTCCTTCCCTTCACTGTTGGTTACCTGTAGATTTTTCTGTATTTCACTGAGAGTAACCTTCATTTCTTCCTTTATGCTATGCCATACTCAATGAGTTCTTCGTGCATCTTGATCACCAATGTTTTGAACTCTGCATCTAATAGGTTGGCTATTTCCATTTTGTTTAGTTCTTTTTTCTAGGGTATCATTCTGTTCTTTCATTTGGGCCATATTTCTTTTTTCTCCTTAATTTGGCAGCCTCCCTGTGTTTGTTTCTATATATTAGGTAGAGTCTAGATCTAAAAGTCTAGAGTACTTTAAGTAACAAAAGAAGAAGAAATAAACTAAAAGTACATGAATAATTACATCTCACTTGAGGGGCAATTAATAGATCAGATTAGCCAAAAGGTTGGTTAACTAAATAATGACTATATCTATATAATGGAACATTATACAATTGTATAAAAGAATGAGGTAGATCTATATTTAAAAGGAAAGATTACTAAGGCTTATTTTTAAGAGAAAAGAGCAAGTTTCAGAACAATATGTACAGCAAGACCTAGTCACATAAGAAAAATATCTTAACCCACACTCATTAAAAAGCTGTATTCTATATGTTCATATATGCATGTATATGTATGCATTTATGTGCTACTCATACATTTAATATTTTTAAAGAAAGGATAGCCAAATAGTAATAAAAGTGATAAGACACACAAAAAAGGATACACTGTAAACTATAGTTGCTACTTCTGAGGAATAAGAAAAAAAGGAAAAGGGTTGTTGACTTTATGCAAACACACACAAACACACATATGCAAATAGATATGAATACATACAAAAATACTATAAATATGTGTTCACTTTGTAGTTTAAAAAAAAGTATGGGGTGGAGGGGTTAAGGTGAGATGGAGGTGGTAAAGGATTGCCAGGATAATCAATTAAACAACAATAATTATGGGTGGTTCCCACATTGCTTTCAGACTTTGATAAGTTAAGCAGAAAAAATAAATTAGCGAGGAAGAAGGACTTCCAGCCAAGATGAAGGCATAGGTATGTACACTTTGCCTCCTCACATAACCAAAAGAATGACAACAACAAATTTAAAAACAAAAAGTAACCAGAACTGCCAGAAAACTGAACTCTGTGGAGGTCTGACAACCAAGGACCTAAAGAAGAAACATTCATCCAGACAGATAGGAGGGGCAGAGACAGGCAGCTGGGTCAGAGAGGACGTGTGGTAAGGGAGCAGCTGGGCAGACCAGGAAGTCCCACATTTGCCTGCAGATAAACTGGGAGGAACAGCTGGGGAGTGAGACAGACTGTGAAACTCAGGGTTCCAGTTCATGAAAAGAAAGCCTTGAAACCTCTGGAAGTAAAAATCTGTGGGGGTTGCGGTGGCAGGAGAAACTCTCAGCCTCACTGGAGAGTCCGCTGGAGAAACACTTGGGGTCCTAAAATGTACACAAACCCACCCACCCAGGAATCAGCACTAAAAGGGCCCAATTTGCTTGTGGATAGCAGGGGAAGTAACTGAAAGCCAGCTGAGAGCTGAGCAAGTGGCATTGTTCCCTCTTGGACCCCTCCCACACACACAGCATCACAACAACAGTGACCTGAGTTGCCCCACCCTGGTGAATACCTAAGGCTCTTCCCCTCCCATCCTAACAGGCACACTGAGACAAAGAAATGCGGAACAAATGAAAAAACAAATCAAAGCTCCAAAAATAGAACTAAGTTACGATGAGATAGCCAATCTATCAGATGCACAGTCCAAAACACTGGAGAACTGGATGCTCACTGAACTGGTTAAGCATGGTCACAAAATGGAGGAAAAGGGGAAATAAAGAAAAATACACAGGAACCCAACAGTGAAGGGAAGGAAACTGGGACTCAAATCAACGATTGCAGCAGAAGGAAGAGATAAACATTCAACAAGAACAGAATGAAGAAACAAGAATTCAAATAAATGAGGAGAGGCTTAGGAACATGAGACAACTTTAAACATTCCAACATCCAAATCATAGGGGTGCCAGAAGGAGAAAAGGAAGAGTGAGAAATTGAAAACTTATTGGAAAAAATAATGGAGAATTTCCCCAATCTGGCCAAGGAAATAGACTTCCAGGAAGTCCAGGAAGCTCAGAGAGTCCCAAAGAAGTTGGACCCAAGGAAGCACACACCAAGGCACCTCATAATTACATTACCTGAGATTAAAGATAAGGAAAGAATTTTAAAAAGCACCAAGAGGAAAGGATGCAGATACCTATGAAGGAGTTCCCACAAGACTATCAGCTGATTTCTCAAAAGAAACCTTGCAGGTGAGGAGAGGCTGGCAAGAAGTATTAAAAGTCATGCAAGGCAAGGACCTACATTCAAGATTACTCTATCTAGAAAAATTATCATTTAGACTGGAAGGGCAGATAAAGTGCTTCCCAGATAAGGTCTAGTTAAAGGAGTTCATAAGCACCAAGCCGGTATTATATGAAATGTTAAAGGGAGTTATCTAGGAAAAAGACCAAATCTATGAACAGTAAAATGGCAACAAACACAACTATCGACAACTGAACCAAAAAAATAAAAACCATAAACAAATTAAGCAAACAACTAGAACGGGAACAGAATCATAGAAATGGAGATCAGAGGGGAGGGAGAGGGGGAAGAATGGGGAAAAGGTACAGGGAATAAGCAGCATAAATAGTAGGTACAAAATAGACAGGGGGATATTAAGAATAGTATGGGAAATGGAGAAGCCAAAGTACTTATATGTACGACCCATGGACATGAACTAAGCAGGGGGAATGCTGGTGGGAGGAGGGGTGCAGGGCAGAGGGGAATAAAGGGGAAAAAATGGGAAAACTGTAATAGGATAATCAATAAAATATATTTGAAAAAAAGAATTTGATAAAATAAAAGTTTTAATTAAAAAGATTCAATTTATCATTCCAGTTCATAGAGATATTTTATCTCTCTTATGCACTTATTCCCTCTCCTTACTCCCAGTTTCAATTACCCATGAATGAAATGAGTAGATCTTCTCTGTTCTCTGTTCTCATCTACACTGCTAATAAAAATGTTGATCAAAACAAAGTCTGCTACCAGTCCACTAGAAATCTTGTTCTATCTTGGTAATGATTAACAATCTTTGGGATCAATTTTATTTATGTAAGATCTCCCCAGATTCTACTCTTTTATAGTTTACTACTCTTCATCATTTCCATAAATTGAGAGATATTTTCATGCTTTGCTGATGTCCAAATCTACGACATTTCCCTGGTGTGTCACTCCAAAGTGAGCCTGAATCACTTCTCTGGCACTTAAAGGATATTACACTATAGTACCTTTTCTCCCCAATTATATAATAACATTCTGCTGAGCATGGACTATGCCTTATATTTCTGTGCAAACTCCATAGCAATCCATTCAATCCCATTCATTTACAAACTATTTATTGACACCTTAGTATGTGCTAGGTACTATTCTGGGTTATCTTTCCTTAGTATAAAGTGATAAATATTCATAGCAGTATTCCCTCAATAACCAACCCTGGACTAACAGCTACTTGCCATGTTTGGTGCTATACTGTACTTCATATTATCTATCCCACCCAAATTTGAAAGACTTTGTCACTGACCACTATCCAAATCACTAGATATACTTTTACAAGATTTTAAGAAGGATTAAACTACCATACCATCATTGCCTTTTCTACACATAATTTCTCCTTTCACTGGTTTCTCATAGTGTCTTATTTATAACATTCTTATATTACTTAAGTGTATTCTACTTTGTATTGCAGTTATTTGTCCGCATGTCTTACCTTGCCCCTTATATCAAAAGTTTCCCAAGGGCAGGACCCATGGCTTATTCAGCTCTGTAGACCCAGTAAATTTTTACCAAATTTGGACCCTGGCAGTGCTGAATGAATAATTGATAAACAGAATAGCAGCTCCCTAAAACAGGAGTTGCCGGGCTCACCTGCACATCCACCAACCAATTCACAAGAATGGCCCTCATGTTACTGCTGATGTCACTCTGCCTGTTCATGTATTTTTTAAGTATGAACTTTTCCTGGTGACAATAAGAAAGAAATGTTAATAAACAATTCTTGTAGTTCCAAAATTGTAACTTAGGAAAAAATGTTTGCAACTAATATCTCAGAAAAAAAATTGTAACAACATAATTAATTCCTTTATGGTTTAACTCATTTTCAGCTTGTTATCTAATAGGGGCAGATCAAAGTATTCTTTTCCAGACAAATTCCAGTTATCCTTGGAAAATGGACACACATGATATTCAAGCATCAGGGTGGATACTAAGGAGTTTGGTGGGGGGGGGGCGGATATGGGTAGGAACACACGTATGACTATAGATGAATACCAAAAGGTTCTGCCCACTTTGTGCAATTCAATCTAAAAGCACAATACCATGCTATGCGGAGCAATGTTTCTCAAATTTTAATATGTATATGTACTACTTGGGATCTTTAAAATTCACATTCAAATTTAGAAGGTCTGTGGTAGGTCCAGATTTCTGCATTTCTAACAAAATCCCAAGTGAAACTTATACTGCCGAGCTAAGGCCCACACTTCTGGTATTGCAAAGTTTTCTTTCACTTCTTCTAAGGTATACTAGAAAAAAAAATGTGGGCTCTGGAGTCAGTTAATCAAATGCAACATCTCTAGAGAGAATATGAAATATTCATATTCCCTCTTTTGCATGGCCTGCTAAAATTCTGGTTGGCAGATAATCTTGGTCCCATCTGTTCTGTTGAAAGAGACAGGAAAAAAACAAACTTGGAATCGATAAAGATTAGTAGTAAAGGAGACAGGCAGATTTCAAAGGAGGAATAAAATTTCACCAGATTAGAGAGGTGAAACAAAGAGTGTGATTTTACATATGACAATAGAAACTTGCAGAGAGAAAGGAAAAGATCTCCAAGAATAGCTACTCAGAAAGGGACTACTTGACCATTTTTGTATCTGAGACAGTATCCTCAGTAATTAGAGGTGCAGGCTTATGTTCTTATAAGTAACGAGACTTTAGTCCATATCCCAGCTCTATCACATACTAGTTGTGTGACTATGAGCAGCTTCCCCCATCTATAAAAAGGAGATAATAATATCTATCATCATGAAATTATTAGGAGAATTAAATAAAATGTCTATAAATCCCATACAACAAAGTCTAACTCATAGTCTGCTACCAAGAGATGCCAGTTGTTGCTCCCCTTTCGACTTGCATTTGAAGGATGAAGTGACAAGGAAATGAGAACTAGGAATCATTACCCCCCCCCACCAGCTATCTACTTACCTCTCTCTCCTTCATGTATCTGAAGATATCCTTGACATATATTGAGTTGAAAAATGGATTATTGTGGTTCTTACCAATATCCTCCAGTGGGGTTATCTGCTTGGAAATCAGCAAAAAGATATATTAGGAGAAGAAACATTCCAGGGAAGGTTTAGCACATGCAAATAAAAAATGACTCCCTTCTTACCACTGCCATCTTCTGCTAAGGTCCCTCAAGCCTCATACATTCTGAGCTATAATAGAGCACCCCTGAACCCTGCAATCTTCATACTGCTGAGTGACCAAGAAATACTTAGTTCTCCTTGTACATGCCTGCTCTACCCTAAGAACCAGGCACCATTTTTACAGGTAAGCTCAAGACTCTTCAACGAAGACACTCTTATTTTACAATTTCAGTTTATGTCACCTATCTTCTTAGGTTCTTTGTTATGTCCCAATGCTTTCATCTGGCCCAATTAATCTTCTCGGTAGCCCTTTTCTCCCTTCTACACATTTATTCAGGTTGTTTTGCCTACAAGAGTTGTATTTCTCCTCCTATTTTCCAAATCTGATCCTGTTATCCTTTCAATTTACAACTTAAAGACCATCTTTCTTGGGAGGTGCCTCTGTGAACTTTATCCTTCTTAGAAGCCAACTTGAATGCAGATTGCAATTACTAAGAAAGGCCATTTCCTGAAATAAGTAAACACTACTGCAAAGCCTATATATACTGGGGTGGGCAAAAGCAGGTTTACCATGCCATTGTGACACTTTTGAGTTAATAAAACTATTGTAATAGCTGTAACCTGCATGTATTTTTCCATATGAACAACTGTAAACCTACCTTTGTCCACCTCTGTATATGCAGCATTCCAGGACATTGTGGGTATTCCTGGGATAAATACTTTCTAATTGCTTAGGTAAATCACTATGCCAATTGGGAAGTCAAGAGATTCTCAAAGGCCAGCTTGATTTACTATAGCTTATAACACACAACTCAATTGCCGCTTAAGAAAAAATATCTCTTTGCTAGTAGCTATCTTCAGGACAACAAAGAACATTTCATCTAATTTAAGAAGACAGCAAAATACCTCCTTCTGTGATCTCTTGCCACAAGATGAGAAAGGTTTATTGGAACCGCATTCACAAGCACTAGACTTCCTTGTGGTATTAAACTTGCTCACACTGGACATGGTGCGAGAGCTGGACATGCCTGTTCTGGATTCAGAGGCAGCGCTGAACACCTGTGGGCTACTCTCAACTTGGAGGATAGAGACATCTTTAAGAAATGTGTCTTTCTTGTGGGTAGGACTATTTTGCAAGGCCAATGGCTCCTCAAAGGACAACTCCTGCCCAGTGGTGGGTTTCTCATTCAAGGAAAACATCTTGAAATGGAATGCCTCATTGATGGTAGGCTTCCCATGAAAGGTTAATTCTTTGAAGACGGATTCCTTCTCAATGCTGGTCTTCTCCTGCAAGGTCAGTGGCTGTTTAATAAGGAATTCATCTTCATTAGTGATATTCTCTTGCAAGAACAACTGCTTCTTCAAGAGGAACACCTTCCCTTGAGCAATTTGCTTCTTCTTTAAAGGTAATTGGCTCTCTATGCTTGTTTTTGCCTCATTGGAGAGCTTCTTTTTCAGAACCAATGGTTTCTTGAAAAGGGAATCCTTTTCAGTGGTGCTTTTCTTCTGCAAAGTCAACAGCTTGTGCAAGAGGTCCTCTTTGGTATCAGTCTTATTCTGCCCATTCAAACCTTTCCAGAAAAGGGGTTCATCTTTGTTGGCAGGTTTAATATGCAATGAAAATGGCTCCTTAAAGAGGGATTCCTCCTCAATGGGAGGCTTCTTCTCTAATGGTTCCTTAATATATGATTCTTCATCAGTGGTAGTCTTTTCCTGCAAGGCCAATGGTTTCTTTGAGTGGAACACATCCTGCAGAGTGGTGTGATCCTCTTTCAATAGAGATGGATCTTGCAAGAGAAACTCCTCATCAGTTGCAAGCTTCTTCTTAAAGGGCAACACCTTCTTCAAGAGTGACTCCTCTTCAGAGGTAGTCTTGTCTAACACCAGTGGCTTCTCTAAGAGAAATACCTTTCCCTGAGTGATTCTCTTCTTTAAAGATAATGCTGTCTTAGTAAGGATTGCCTCTTCAGTTGGCAACTTCTTCCTAAATGACAGTGGCTTCATAAAGAAGGGATCCTTACCTTTGCCAATCATATTCTGCAAGTCCAATATTACTTGGCAGATGGACATCATTATTTGAATGGCGCACTCTTTCTTCTTTAAAGACATTAACTCTTTGCTAGAGGCTTCCTCATTTGTGGTATGTTTCTTCCTATAGGAAACTGGCTCCATAAGAAATTCATCTTTACTGTGAATATTCTCTTGCAATGCCCATGGCTTCTTCAAGAGGGCCACCTCCCTCTGAGTGGTGTGCTTCTCTGGTAACGCAGATGATTCCTTGAAGAGGAACTCCTCCTCAGTGGTAGGCTTCTTTTTAAAGGACAATGGCTCCTTAGTAATCAACTTCACTTCAGAAATGGTCTTCAAGCAGGATATCTTATCTTGAGTGGTACATTTCTTCTTTAAAATTTCTAGCTCCTTGGAAGGGGTTACCTCCTCAATGGTACGCTTCTTCTTAAAAGCCAGAGTCTCCTTTAGAAGTGACTCCTCCTCAGTTGGAGTCTTTTGCAAGACGAAGGACTTCTTCAAGTTGGACACCTCCCCCTGAGTGGTGTGCTTCTCTTGCAACAGAGATGATTCTTGGAAAAGGAACTCCTCAGTGGTAGGCTTCTTCTGAAAGGACAATGGTTTCTCAGTGAGTGGCTTTTCTCTGGAGGTGGCCTTCTGCAATATTAGTGGCTTCTCGTGGGACATCTTTTCCTGAGTGGCACATTTGTTTAAAGTTAACAGCCGCTTCGTGGGGGTTGCCTTCTCAGTTTCAAGCTTCTTCCTAAAGTTCACTGGCTCCATAAAGAAGGAATCCTTTTCAGCAGTAATATTCAGCAATGTCATCTCCTCCTCACAGCAGGACTGCTTCCCCTGAAATGTACACATCTCCTTGAAGGATAATGTCCTCTTGGTGACAGCTGCCTTCTCAGTTTTTTGTTTTTTCCCAAAAGTCACTGGCTCTAAAACATACTCTAAGTCACTCTCAGTCTCTTCAAGCAAGGTTAGGGGCTTCTCAAATAGAGAGATGTTATTCTGATTTATGGGCTTCTTTAAAGATAATGACCTCCTATTGAGGACTGTGCCCCTGGTAGTGGGTTTCTCTTTTAAAACTAATGGCTTTTTGGGAAGAGGAGACTCCTCAGTAGTGGGTGTTTTGGAGATGGTAGGTATCTTCAGAGTGAGTGGTTTCTTCACAATGTGTAATACCATAGTGGTAGAAACTGCTGCTGATGAGGGTTCCAGCTGATATCTGTAAAGAAAACAATGTCTGGGTAAGAAGAATATATTTTCTAGAATCCTCACCTACCATCTCATTTTGTTGCTATATTTACTAAAGGTATGGAAAAGGAAAGGTTTTCACCTCCAAGGGACAGATTAGAGTATAAAAGTCATTGAGTGCTATAGTGAACCAACTAAGTAGCACACTGTATAGTTTCTATGGCCTAGGTCCCCATGTTTTTCTGAAAAATTTCCTCTGAAATCCATGTTATACTTTTCTCATATATGATATATTACCTTAATTTATATATAAAGGCTTTCATTATAATACTTACACATTGTATGACTTATCTGCTTACACATCAGTCTCCTTCCCTTGTTGCATTTATTTTTCTTTACCTATCAGCACCAGACATCTGGTAAAATGCAAGTTGAAATTAATATTTTTGAAGGCTTATGAGAGAATTATTAGAGAGAGGTATACAGTGAAGGTTTATAAGTCAAAGGTGGGTTGATACTTAACATTGGTGGTATCCAGCCATAGGCCCTTTACCCTAGGTTATTCACAAGGTATTTTCTCAGTGTAAGACATGATAAGACCAAAATATGCATTTTTCACATGTCAGATGCAAAGCTTTGTTTTGAACAGGATTTCATGTCCAATTAGAGTGACTAATCTAGTATGACCAAATCACTAGATGACTAGAAATCAGAAAAAGTGAGAGGATTAAAGGCAAATATAGTCATCAGTCTGATCAAAAGTAAGTACCTCCAAAAGACCAGATATCATATGGCTCTATCTAACTAAAACATCCAGAATATACATATTCATAACAGAAAGTAGATTGGTGGTTGCCTGGGGCTGAGAAGCGACAGGGTCTGGAAAAGGAAGGGTAAAAATGGAGACTGGAAAAGAGAAAGGACTATTAATGGGTACGAGTTTCTTTTGTGGAGGAGTGGAGTATTGGAAAAGTCCTAAAATTAGACAGCAGTGATGGCTGTACAAATCTAAAAAATACAATACAAAAAAAATCAATGAATTATTTTGTAAAAGGAAGTGCTAGCTGGTTTATTAGAAATAGACAAGGTGATGTTAAAATTCATATGGAATTGCACAAAACCAGAATGGCCAAAAAATCTTGAAAAAGAGAAAAAAAATTAGAGTAGTCACACTCCTCAATTTCAAAATGTCCTACAGAGCAACAATAATCAAGATAGTGTGGTACTGATATAATGATAGATATGTAGATTAATGGAATAAAATTAAGAGTTCAGAAATAAACAATTGTCCTGGCCAGTATGGCTCAGTTGGTTGGAGCATCATCCTGTAAACTGTAAGGTGGTGGGTTCAATTCCGGGTCAGGGCACATACCTAGGATGCAGGTTTGGCCCCTGGTTGGGGCACATATGAGAGGCAACTGATGATGTTTCTCTCTCAAAGCAGTTTCTCTCCTCTCTCTCCCTTCCCCTCTCCCTAAAATCAATAAGCATGTCATCCAGTGAGGGTAATTTAAAAAAAATCATTTATAGTTAATAGTCAATTCATTTTTGACAAGGGTGCCAAGACAATTAAGTGGAGAAAGATTAAACTTTTTAAGAAAAATCCCTGGCTGTTGTGGCTCAGTGGATTGAGTGCTGGCCTGTGAACCAAAGGGTCATCGGTTCAATTCCCAGTCAGGGCACATGCCTGGGTTGCAGGCCAGGTCCCCAGGAGGGGGTGCACAAGGCAACCACACATTGATGTTTCTCTCCCTCTCTTTCTTCCTCCTTTCACATCTCTCTAAAAATAAATAAATAAAATCTTTAAAAGAAAAAGAAAAGGGCGATGGACAACAGGATACTTACATACAAAACAATGAATTTAGAACCCTAACATACACCAACAACAAAAATTAAATCAAAAACCTAAAGTAAGAGCTAAAACTTTAAGACTCTGAAAAGAAAATCTTAAAAGTGAGCAAAGAAAAAAAACACATAGACACAGACAAAAGAATGGTGATTATCAGAGGAAAAGGTGGGTGGGAGGAAGTAGAAGAGGGTAAAGGGGAAATAAATGGTGATGGAAGATTTGACTTGGGGTGGTGAATACACAATACAATATACAGATGATGTGTTATAGAATTGTACACCTGAAACCTATAAAACTTTATTAACCAATGTCACCCCAATAAATTCAATAAAAATTTTTAAAAAGTAAATCTCTGTAACATTAGATTTGACAATGGTTTCTTAGACATAATACCAAAAGCATAAGCAACAAGATAAAAAAATAAATTGGATTCCTCAAAATTAAAAATGCTTGTGCCTCAAAGGACACCAAAAAGAAAGTGAAAAGACAACACCAAAATGGATGAAAATATTTGCAAATCATTTATCTGATCAGGGACTTGTATCTAGAATATGTAAAGAACTCTTACAAACACAATAATAAAAAGATCAATAACCAAATTTTTATTTATTTTTTTAATTTTATTTTAATTTATTTTTTCAAATACATTTGTCTCTGCCTACCCCCCACCACTTTCCCTTGCCCCCTCCTTCCTTCCCTCCCTCAGCTCTTTCCCTTTGGTAATAACCAAATTTTTAAAGGGGGACAAAGGATCTGAACAGACATTCCTCCAAAGATATGCAAGTGGCCACTAAGCACGTGAAAGATGCTCAACATCAGGGAAATGTAATCTAAACAAGAAGATACTGTACTGCTTTATTCTTTAGGATAGCCATAATAAAAGAAAGAAAGAAAATAGCAAGGGTTGACAATGATGTGGAAAATTGGAAATCCTCATGTATTGCTGGTAGGACTGTAAAATAGTGCAACAACTATAGAATACATCTTGGCAGTTCCTCAATGAGTCCAACATAGAATTACAATTTGACCTACCAATTATATTCCTGGGTACATGCACAAAATAATTGAAAATAGGTGTTCAAACAAAAACTGGTATGTGAATGTTCGTATCAGCACTATATAGAATAACCAAAAGGTAGAGACAAACAAAATGTCCATCAACTGATGAATGAATGAACAAAATATGGTATAGCCATACAATGAAATATTATTTGGCAATAAAAATGAATGAAATACTGATACCTGCTACAATGTGGCTGAACCCTGAAAACATTATGCTACATGAAAGAAGCTAGATACATCAGACCACATAGTATATTATTCCATTTATAAGAAATGTCTAAAATAGGCAAATCTATAGAGACAGAAAATGGATTAGTTGTTGCCCAGAGCTAGGAAGGATGGCAGGAAGGATGGCAGAAGTGAGAGATGATAAACTAGAGAATATTATGCTAAGTGAAATAAGCCAGTTGGTGAAAGACAAATACCATATGATTTCACCTACAAGTGGAATCTATTCAACAAAACAAACAAACAAACAAACAAAATAAACCACAGACATGGAAACATGGAGCAGACTGAAAGTGACCAGAGGGGATGGGGAAAGAGGACAATGGTGGAAAGAAGGGATAGGGACTAGACAAAGAACATGTATGAATGACCCATGGACATGGACAACAGAGTGGGAATTGACTGTGGGAGTGAGGAGTGGGGGTGGGATGGGTGGAGGGAAGATAAATGGGGAAAAATTGAAACAATTGTAATAGAATAAATGTGATTTAAAAATTTAAAAAAATAAAGTATACAACTCAAAAAAAAGAAGTGAGAGATGATAGTTAAAGGTACAGAGTTTGTTTTGGTTTGATTAAGATGTTCTAAAACTCATGTTAACAGCTAAATAACTGGATATACTAAAAGTCATTGAATTGTACACTTTAAATGGGCAAATTGTATGGGATGTGAATTATATCTCAATTAAGGTGTTACCAAAAAACCCACTTAGAATAATGTATGATTATAATAAGCTCTCAATAAATATTAACTATTAGTTCTAGTGCTATTGTTAGTATCCATTCCACTGAACCCTGAATGAAGGCAAGAATGTTTATGACATTTTGAGAGGCTTTCCCTGCTAAAGTCTGAATGATAAGCAATTCAAAAGAACGGAATTCACATTAAAAAATACATATGCAAATCCCAAGAATTCCATTTCAGCAAGAAACCAAGTAGGGCTAAATGCTAATCTGGGTTGATTTCTTTTTGCTGGGTAATTGTGTGGACCTGGTATGTTAATTTCCTGAAGTTCCCCAACTTTTTCCCTTTAACCTTTGGAACCCATGCTTAGCCCTGCTATAGGTATCTATCTAACTATTATATTCTTTCCTGAAGAAGTAATTACCACTGAAATGAGGAGAAGATATAGAAAGTCCTCACTGCACTCTCTTTTTCCAATAGAAGTTTTTCTCAGTTAAATCCTTTTTCCAATCCTAGATGAGAACACATATCTACTTGCAGAACTTATGAACAGTTCCCTGTAACAGATGGAAAACACATGTTTTGGACCTAGAGAAACAGTAATCTCTCTCCAATAACAAGGGACAAAACTTCCCTAATACTTTTAATGGATAATCAGACTGACGAGATATCAACCAGCTGCTGAGAATCCTCTGAAAACTTAAGTTGCTCCCACACTCTCAAGCACAGATAGTTAAAACAGGGACTAAATTAATAAAAGGTAGAAAAGACAAGCACAAGATCTTTTGGCAAATTCCCCAATGACAACAGGTCTTTCAATATGCACACACACCATGGAAAAAGAGAGAGAAGAGGCCTGTAACACTTTAGCAACCACAGCTGGGTCCACCTCAGCAACGAGCGTTAATGTAGTAATCACCAACATGGCTTATTAAACATGTTCTCAATGGGGACAAAAGGGGATCAAAAGGATGTCACACAATCTCCTTTAGCATCCAAAACAATGCCATCTGCATCCCCTCTTACTCACTGTTTCATATTCATCTCATTGTTTTTGGCCAACTCCAGAGCAGGTGTAGTCCTGTTTATCTTCTTGGAAACATCTTTTAAAAACTCCTTATTGGCTTCCTTCTTGGGCTGTGCAGGTTGACTTTGAGAAGCCTACAAAAAATGGGCAGAGGGGAAGGAAGCAAAAAAATGCAGAGCACCACAAAATTATCCTATAGGTGGCTCTTAGAGGAAAATTCTGACCCACATCCTCACCCTAGACACCTTCTTTGAGTGTTCCCAGGAATAATCAAAACATCTCACAATCGGTATAGCACCAATGTGACTAATCACAGTGAAAGTTAGCAGTATAATATAATTGGTAATTATTAACTAAATAGCAGCACTAAGTGATTCTAAGACACAAAGGAAGTAGTTCTGATCTCCATGTCAGGCATACTGGCTGGCAAATTACCGAACAGATTTTTTTGCTAATATCACATTCCACTTTGACCCCATGATATGGTCAAAGTGGGGAAAAGGCAAAATAGATGGCTTTGCTGCCTGAATATACCAAAATCAACTAAGTTTTCAGTGTAGACTTCTAATATCTAACATGGAACTCTGAGGAGCTCCACCACAAACTCTAACCATGACTAACTCTATTAAACAGTAGGAGAGATCCTGGTTCTACAAATAACATCAGTAGAAATAAGTTTAAATGTAATACCTTTAAAATGAAATAAATCAATCTGGTCAAGATGGAGGCATAAGTAGATACACCTCACCTCACTGCACAACCATAAGAAGGAGCACAACTAACTTAAAAATAAAAAGCACACAAAATTGCCAGAAAATCACCCAGAAAAACACACAGAACTGTATGAAAGTCCAACAATCAAGGATTTAAAGAAGCTATATTCATCTGGACATGTAGGAAGGGCTGAGACAGGGAATCTGGGTGGAGAGGACTTCATATAGCAGTGGTGAGCCAGGGGCAGAGAGGCGCAGAGGTGGTGGTGGCCGGCAGAACTGGTAGCACCACATTCATGTGCACTGGATAAAAATCTGGGAGACACTTTGTGAGCAAGTAAGCCCAGCCTCAGGCCAGACCATGAAACACCACATAAAGAAAGCCTCATAACTTCTGGCTGTAAACCCAGTGGGAGCTGGGGTAGAGGAAGAAACTGCCACTTTTTCATGAGAGCCCAACTCACGTAAACCCACTCACCCTGGGATCCACATCAAGGACAGAATCTAGAGGGGTGACAGTCACATACAGGAAGTGGGTGAAGTGACTAGAAATGGAGTGAGGGCCACACAAGCCACTAGAAGTCAGCAAACAATGGCACTGTCCTCTCTTCTACCCCTCTGCCACACACGGATCCACAGTTGCCTCACTTAGGTGAATACCCAAGGCTCTGCACACAACTTAACAAGTGTGCTAAAAAGGAATCAAAGCAGCTCTACTTGGTACACAGACAGAGGGGGGCTGCCCAAATCAGGAGACCAAGAAATATGGCCTAAATGAAGGAACAGAATAGAACCCCAGAAAAATAACTAAGTGGTGCAGAGATGGCCAACCTATCAGACACAGAGTTCAAAACACTGGTGGTCAGAATGCTCAAAGATCTCATTGAATACAGTAAAAGCATAAGGGAAGAAATGAAGGCTATACTAAGGGAAATAAAGAAAAATCTACAGGAAAACAACAATGAAGGGAAGGAAGCCAGGATTCAAATCAATGATTTGGAACATAGAAAGAAGTAAACATTCAACCAGAACAAAATGAAGAAATGAGTATTCAAAAAAAAAAAAATGAAGAGAGTTTAAGATGACTCTGGAATATAGCCAAAAAGGTCAACATCCGAATCACAGGGATGCTAAATGGAGAAGAAGTAGAGCAAGAAACTGACAACTTATTTGAAAAAAATAATGAAAGAAAAGTTCCCCAGTTTGGCAAAGGAAATAGATAAATAAGTCCAAAAAGCACAAAGAGTCACAAACAAGTTGGATCTACAGAGGTCCACACCAAGACATAGTTATAATGCAAAAGATTAAATATAAAGACAGAAACTTAAAAGCAGCAAGAGAAAGGCAGAGGGGTAATTATAAAGGAGTTCCCACAAGACTATCAGCTTGTTTCTCTAAAGAAACTTTGCAGGCTAGAAGGGAAAGGCAAGAAATATTCAAAATGATGAAAAGCAAAGACCTACAACCTATATTACAATGTCCAGCAAAGCTATCATTTAGAATTGAAGGACAGATAAAGTGCATCCCAGACAAGGTAAAGCTAAAGGAGTTCATCAACACCAAGACCATTATTATATAAAATGTTAAAGGGAATTATTTAGGAAACAAAAGATCAAAACTATGAACACTAAAATGACAACAAACTCACAACTATCAACAACAATCTGAAAAACAAAAATAAAGAGAATCAAGATGATGGAGGAGTGAGTAAAAGTCACAATGACCTCCTCCAAGGACCAACCTGGAATTACAACTAAATTGTGGAGAAATCACCTGGAACAAACAACTGAACAATAGAGAGAGAGGAGCCTTATAACCTGGGACAGACAGAAGAATCACCTTAAGCACAACCTAACTGGTAAGGAGTACAGTAGAGACTCGAGAAGGTGGGTGGGGCGCCCATAGGTGGCAGTGCCAGTAGGATATTGAAATGGCCAGTGGGATCCCCTTAAGAAAAGCAGGGTTTAAACCTTAAGCAGGGATCTCCAGCCTACAGCACCAGAGCCCAAAACGTACACAGATAACAAACAGGTGCGAAAACTGTCAGGGTTACACTTTGCAGAGACGGGGGCTGGACATGCAAAGAGCCATTTAAAGGGCTAATGGATAAATTTTTATTTGCAGCCATTTATCCTGGTCTCTGGCAAAGGTGGGGGCAGAGAGGGCTAGAGATGCCTGAGGAAAGACTGGGGAAGGAGGCTTTGGGGAGAGAACTGAGAAAGTAGCTGGCAGGATCATGGTACTGACTCATTCTCCATGCAGCATCAGGAGCCATCTTGCTCAGGCAGACCACTCCCCTGACTGGCATCAAAGTGAGAGGACACAAGCCCCAACCCTACAAGTGACTCGGCCCTGCTGAGTACAGAGAGGCAGCCACAGAAGGTAGATCCCTGGCTAAGAGGGGCGCAGAGTGGTCTAGAGACACTTGAGAGGAGACTGGAGATTGAGGCTTTGGGGATGGAACTGAGAGAGTAGCTGGCGTGATAAGGGTGCTGGTTCCTTGCCCATAAGGCAGCAGCCATCTGGCTCAAGCAGGTGGCACCCTTGAATGGCAACAGCATGAGAGGACCCAATAACCTCGCCCCCAGGAGGGACTCTGCACTGCCCTGTGGTGTCTCTGAGCCAGCCTGCTGAGTGCAGAGTGACTAGATTAAAAGCTAAAGGAGACAGACACAGACAGTAGATTCCTGGAAGTCTGGAACAGACTGCCTAAGCTCAGACACAATCAACATCCGACATCATCAGAGGCAAATCTAGGAAGAAAACAGCCGTCTCCTATCATAGAAGTTCACACCACAAAGTCAGGAGATCAAGACAGATCAACTTAAGAAGCAGAAGCAAAAGACAAGAGTCTCACAAATAATGGGAAGACCAAGAAACAACCCCCAATCAAAGGGAAAAGAGGAATCCCCTGAAAGAGAACTAAATGTAATAGAGGCAAGTAAACTATCAGATATTGAGTTCAAAACAATGGTTCTAAGGAAGCTCAATGAGCCCAGTGAGCTCAGAGAGAATCACAAAAAAACTACAGGGATACTATGAGGAACTAACTGCAAACTATATCAGCAGGAAAAAGGACTTAGAAACTATCAATAAGACACAAGGGGAAACGAAGAATACAATTTCTGAATTGAAGAACACAGTAGAAGAAATCAAAATCAAGCTAGATGAAGTAGAGGATTAAATGAGCGAGCTAAAGGATAAGGCAGAAAAAAGCTCCCAGAAAGAGCAAGAAAATGAAAAAAGAACTCAAAAAGAATGAAGAGGCGATTAGATAAAGGTAGAACAACCTGAAACTTAATAATATACCTATAATAGAGATACCAGAAGAAGAAGAGGATGAGCAAGGGATAAAGAACCTGTTTGAAAGAGTAATGATGGAAAAGTTCCCTAATTGGAGGAGAGAAAAAGTCACACAAGTCCAGGAAGCACAGGGGATCCCATTCAAGAGGAACCCAATGAGACCTACTCCAAGACACATCATAATTAAAATGGCAATCAGCAAAGACAAGCAGAGAAAACTAAAGGAAGTAAGGGAAAAAGAGGTAGTAACATATAAGGGAGCCCCAATACAATCAGCAGCTGACTTCTCAACAGAAACACTACAAGCCATAAGGGAATGGCAAGAAATATTCCAAGTCATTAAAAACAAAGGCCTGCAACCAGGTCTGCTCTTCCCAGCAAGACTCTCAGTTAAAATGAAAGGCGAAATAAAGAGTTTCCCAGACAAAAGAATACACCTGCACCAAACCAGCATTCCAATATCTACTAAAGGAACTGCTTTAAGATGATTAAGAAAAAGAGGGAGAGAGAGAGAAACACATGAGCAAAGGGAAAAAAATGCCAATGAATAAATACCTATAAATAATAACCTTAAATGGACTTCTGTTCAAGAAGGAGGCATAGGTAGATATACTTTGCTTCCGTGCACAACCAAAAGAAGGACAACAAATTTAAAAACAAAAAACAACCAGAGATACCAGAAAATCGAACTGTATAGAAGTCTGACAATCAACGAACATTCTTCCAGACCAGTAGGAGGGGCGGAGCAGGGAAACCAGGGCTGAGAGGATGTGGGGCAAGTCGAGTGCTGGAGGACGAGGCAGTTGCACATTTCCATGTGGATACACTTGGAGGAACAGCTGGGGAATGAGACAGACTGTGCAATCCAGTCCGATAAAAGAAAGCCTCAAAACATCTGGAGGTAAAAACCTGTGGAGGTTGAGGCAGCAGGAGAAACTCGCAGCCTCACTAGAGAGTCTGTTGGAGACAACAAAAGGGTCCGAAAACGTACACAAACCTACCCACCCGGGAATCTGCACTAGAAGGGCACAATTTGCTTGTGGATAGCGGGAGAAGTGACTGAAAGCCGTAGAGAAGCGAGCAAGCGGCATTGTTCCCTCTCGGATCCCTCCCCCACA